GTCGTAGTACGTGAGAGTAGAGCCTTTTAGTTTAGAACAATTGACAACATACAAAATAATAATAATAATACAAATACTTCAAATACAGTTAAAAACATATGCTCAAGTAATACTGTCAACATCATTCAATTTACCGGCATAAATACGGCAAATTTACAAAATGGTTTATGGTACAGCAAATATACAATACATCAAAACATTACTTTTCAGTTTACAAATGAAAGCAACACACAAGTAGCAATTTCACCAAAAAAAATAACAACTCTCTATGCATACATTTATAACCAGCTTTATATTCCAGTAATATTTATCAGAATTCGAAAAGCCACTGTGGCAGATGGAAAACAGCAGCCTATATTTCTGTGTTTCTTTATCTTTAAGAATCAATATAGAAAAAGCGAAATCCGATGTATGCCACACAAGTTGGTTGATAAACTCTCGTTATACCACACAAAGCTGTCATTTGAGGGAGTTCGTTAAAACGTATACACGAATAAATTATAGTAGGATATGTATAGTCTTCCCTGTGAACTTTGTGAAGATCCGCGTATATGCAGAGAGAGAGAGAGAGAGAGAGAGAGAGAGAGAGAGAGAGAGAGAGAGAGAGAGAGAGAGAGAGAGAGAGAGAGAGAGAGAGAGAGAGAGAGAGAAAGAAAGAAAGATAAAAGACAAATAAAAGAAAGACAAAGAGAGATCCAATGTAGTCCTCGGTCCGCGCCTCTCTCGGGGGGGCGGCGCCGCGATCCCTCTCGCCCGCCATCCGTCTCGGAGCAGGACCGTCGGCGCGGAGAACGTACTCCTCCGTCATAAAGCTTCGGCCCCGCAATTAGCAGACCGCAGGTAGGAGCGTCTGGGAGGTGATGTACAGCTGGTGTGTCCTCGTAACGACGATGCCGCTCGCGTAGCCCCGTGCTAGCACCGATTCTGAGATTCTGAACAAGGCACGCGGAGTTGTGGTAGTACGGCTGATAAATCGATGAGCCCGAGAAGTGGTAAAACTCGCGGGCTTATATCGTCGGAGAGGCTCTGACAGAGGCTCTTTGCGGCTTTATTGATGCGTCTATTGCACACTTCGTACGATGGAATGCGTGTTCCGAGAGCGTACTTCGCAAATGGTTTGATATCGTACTAATAAAGTCCGTGTATTCTATAACTGTAATCTAGAATTGTTCTTGTAATTGAAGAAGTCCAGCTCGTATTATCATGAGCAGCCTGTCCTCTAGTTACAAACGGCTACTTATCTCACAGTAGCAAGTAGCCTAAGACGGTAAACCTTGTCAGACTACATGCACAGAGAGTTTGCTTGTGGTGTAGGTACGACTAGGTTAAAAATACTTAATAAAGGCGTTTTCATTAAGCACAGTTTTTTTCTTTTTTTGTTCCTGTGCGAGCGAAGCAACTGCACTTCAGTATAAGAGATACCTTAGGGGAAAATAACATTACGAGCCACAAATGTTCTCCGACTTGATTCAAGCACGGAGGCAGGCGGTCTGGGACCTCGGGAAGAACAATGTCCTAAAGCGGATATAACACCATGAACCTGTCACTCAAGCCCTGCACGAGGCGCCTCACAAAGCGACATGGATGGGCGCCGCGGTACTCGCCCCGAGTACCTTTCCCACGATTACTACGGAGCCACGGGTTGCACAACAGCTGCTCTACGGTGATTAACCTTGAGCCGTTAGTGCTTCTGGCGCGATGCTAAGAAATCTCATCTTCTAACAGAGACGGTCCCGCTTGACATCTCCGCCAGGGAACGTCTTTTCCCCCGGCGTGGAACTCGGAACGAGACGTAACGGAGGCGAGAGTATCAGGCTGGAGCCCTGGGGAACGCCGGAGCCCCGCCGGGGAGCGGCCTTGGTGCTGCCATCATCCCTGTGTTGATGACCCACTGATGGCGTGGTTTGCGCGCTGCTGTCCCGCTGGAATCGCTGGGGAATGCTGTTGTCACTGCTTATAAGTTTTAGAGGTCCTAGTCAGCTTGCGGGGGACTTTTCTCTCAAGAGCATGGCAGGATGCAAGTCAGCAGATCGTTTGCGCTGCAAGACTACCGCGGTTTCATCTATGCAATCATTATGGCGGCACTTGCGTGCTGGCAGGAAGTTGCAATTTGCAAGATCATCCGATTTTTGGCCCGTGAGAAGCGGCCACAGGGTCGAGCCGCATCACCGACAAGCGCTGTATCGTGATCTCACTTTCTTGAGTTGCCCTCGGGGGTCTTCGCCTGCTCGAAGTCCTGACCTGCAAGGGCGTCGGCGAAAGACCTTCCCTAGCTGTCCTGGGCGAGGGTCCCCGGCCTGCGCACAGACCGCTTGGGGTCTACCGCGGTCTGCTCTGCCGGGACTTGAGGACGAGCTGGTGCAGGGTGGCCATGGCCTCGTCCAGGCCTTCGCCGGTGACCGCGCAGGCCGGCGCCACCGCCCACGGCTGCGAATCGGGTAGCTCGGGCAGCCCCATCGCCTTGGCCAGGTGCTGTGGCTCCCGCGCCCCCGGCAGGTCCTGCTTGTTGGCCAGCACGAGCAGCGGCGGGCGAGGCCGGTTCAGCGCCACGCACTGCGCCGTCTGCTGCTTGGTGAGGCGCTGCAGCTCCACCCGCGTCTCCTCCAGCCGCTCCTCGCTGGTGCTGGAGTCCACCACGAAGATGAGGGCGTCAGTGGCCCTCGTGTACGAACGCCACAGCGGGCGCACTCGCTCCGCGCCGCCTACGTCCCAGATGAGCCAGTTGGCGCCGCCCGCGCGCACCTTCTCCGTGTTGAAGCCCACGGTGGGCACGGCGTTCACGTACTGTCCGTAGCGCAGCCGGAACAGCGCTGTGGTCTTGCCCGACGAGTCGAGGCCCACCAGCACCACGTGCGCCGGTGGCCGCACCAGCGCCGCCGCCTCCCACAGCAGGTACTGGGCCGCCTCCACCAGCCCCGCCCACAGGCAGGAACACATCTTCAAACCCGCGCCATTACACGGACACGACACGTGCTGTTCATGACCAGGGGCTGCTGCTGCGTCGGAGATCAGGTCATGACGGCCGCGTCATGAGACCGAAGCTTTGCCGAGGCTCACGTTCCATTTAATGCACCTTCACTGACTCATCACCGACCCCACGTCAATAATATTCACGATATCTCTTGTAAAATAACGTGAACGCAACTGTTCACAAGAATATTAGATTTGTTTCTATCAAAATGCACCAATAAGCCACTCAACTTAATCACGTGAACACATTTTCTGTGATCTAGATTTCTGTGGTAACATTTATATGATTCTGTAACAAGTAACTGGGCCGAAGAGAGAGCGGCGGCCTGAGTAACACCCGCGACAACGTTCTGCGGCCGACTAAGTCGCGCTCGGGTTCTGTTCAAAGGAAAACGGAAACACCTGATTCCACATCTCTCCACCACACTCAATTTCTTTGTGATTTTCCTCACCCGAAGGAACAAATGGTCTATTATATTTTCAATAAGCTGAATATATTTAGAGAGAAATAACTACATTTATAAAAAATAAAAGTTAAGTCGATACTGTCAAGAAAACGTTTTGATCATACCGCGAGAAATCCTTCACTGGCAACTGCACGGGGCTGAAGTATACGGGCAGAAATCATCGAGTTTCCAAGGTATATACGCTATTATAAGATGTCATTATTGATAGACTCCCACCATTGATAAAAAGACTGATCACTAACCGCTGTTGTAACCGATGAAGAAATACATGTCTTCAGTATGTTTTCTTTTTTTCATCATTTCCTCAGGCTAGTCATAGTGAAGGGTTATGCGAGAGAAGTGACTGCATGTGAAACCGCGTGGGAAAATTCTGCAATGCCTCCAGCTTGTGAATGCTATCATGCATTTCCCGGTAGTAGTAAGTCACGTGAAGATAAAACAGTCCGCTCAATTTTACACTTGCATAATACCAATGCAAATCAGTGAATTGCAAAGAAAAAAAACAAAACATTTATGCTTTCATGTTTTCATTCGGTCACGCGACGCAAGGCAGCCACTGTTTACACCGAAACAGTACATGAACTTTAATACTTTTTTTTCTTCTTTTTTTATTTCTTATTTCCGCGAAGGCACAGATGACTCACAGAAGAGAGGGGAGAGAACGAATGGGGAGAGAGAGAGAGAGAGAGAGAGAGAGAGAGAGCTGGGGACATGAAGGCTGTGATCGGAGTGAAAGACAGGAGAGAAGGGTAAAGGAAGAGGGAGTGAAGAGGAGGGGAGAGAGGGAGAAGGAGAGGAAGAAAGAGGGAGAGAGAGAAAGACTGTGAGAAATGGGAGGGTGGGAAACAAAGGGAAAGAAAGAGAGGGGGATAAGAGGAGAGGAAGAGTGGACGGAGGAGAGAGTGAGAGATGGATAATGAGGAGTGGAGAGAGGGGGAAGGAGAGGAAGAAAGGGAGAGAGAGGAAGAGGGAGGAGTGAAGAGAGGGGGTTACGATAAGAAGAGCAAGGGGGATAAAGAGAATGGGGAACGAAGAGAGGAGGATAGGAAGAGAGGAAGAGAGAAAGGGAACGAAGAAAAAAGAGATAGAGAGGAAGGAGGAGGAACAGAGAGAAAAAGAGAGAGGGGGGGGGAGAGAAAGAAAAAGAGGACAAGGAAGAAGAAAAAAAAGCAAAGAAAGAGAGAGAGAGAGAGAGAGAGAGAGAAACGAATAACAAAGGAGGTGGGAAGAAGTGAGCGCAGAGAATGAGTTACGAGGGAAAAACACGAAGCAAAGAATATGAAAACCACACTTTATTGAGTATTCATACTCCCTTGATGCTTTCTGCCAATACCTAGATTTTCCTCAACCTATTTATGTCAGTAAACATTGATATATATATATATATATATATATATATATATATATATATATATATATATATATATATATATATACTATGGTATGCATAGTATATATATATATATATATATATATATATATATATATATATATATTATATATATATATATATATATATATGTGTGTGTGTGTGTGTGTGTGTGTGTGTGTGTGTGTGTGTGTGTGTGTGTGTGTGTGTGTGTGTGTGTGTGTGTGTGTGTGTGTGTGTGTGTGTATGTGTGTGTGTGTGTGTGTGTGTGTGTGTGTGTGTGTGTGTGTGTGTGTGTGTGTGTGTGTGTGTGTGTGTGTGTGTGTGCTATATCTATATCTATATACATATATAGTTTTTTTCCCCGTCGCGTGCGCTTGGCTGCGATGGGCCTTGGGCGACTCTGGGCAGCCGCGCGAGGGCGCCGGGCTGCGGGCGGCGAGATGAGCGCGAGGTCTTGGGGAAGGGAACGGCTGACACGGCTGCGTCATCTGCGCGCGAGTGGCTGGCGGGGGGGGAGGGGGAGGGGGAGGGGGGAAGGGGGTCCTATGTGGTTTGTGATAAGGTTTCTTATTCATGTATATACACACACAACACACACACACACATACATACATACATACATACATACATAATATATATATATATATATATATATATATATATATATGTGTGTGTGTGTGTGTGTGTGTGTGTGTACAAATGTATACATAGCCTAACACACACACTATATTATATCATATATATATATATATATATATTTATATATATATATATATTTATATATGTATATATATCTATATATAAGTACATATACATATGTATGTATACACACACACTGTGTTTGTGTGTATATATATATATATATATATTATATAATATATATATTATATATATATATATATATATATATAACACACACATACATACATACATATATTCTTATTTGTATGCATGTATGTAATCTAACACTATATATCAGTTCATACCCACATACCTATATATAAGAAACATGCACACGTATAAGTATATATACTCGTGTAACGTAATTTCACTCGAAACGGTACAATGAACTACTTTTAAACTGCGTGGCATTTCTAACTCCAGAATACACGAATACCCGGTGCTTAATATTCATGAAAATGATAATGGTGTACAAATCGAAAATGCCGACTGGAACCGTAATTTACATGGCTGTCTGGGCGCTGTCTGGGGGGGGTGGGGGGTCGGGGGGGGCTCTGGGTCGGGGGAAGAAGGGCTCTGGTCGAGGGGGGGGGGTCGGGGAAGAAGGGCTCTGGGGCGGTGGGGGGGGGGGGGGGGTCGGGGAAGAAGGGCTCTGGGGGGGGGGGGGGGAAGAAGGGGTCTGGGCGGGGAAGAAGGGCTCTGGGGCGGGGGGGGGGGGGTGCTTGGTCCGAGGAGAGGCCAAGGAGCAACGAGAGAAAATAAGGAAAGAGATGTTTTTTAATTGGGTATTGGTGTCTAGAAGTTTATGTAATTATTTATATAATTAGGGGTGTCTTCTTACGGCTTTCTCTCTATTCCTCCTCCACAAAGATAGATAGATAGATAGATAAACAAGCAAATAAACAAACAGATGAATAATAGATAAATGAATGAATGAATGGAAAAGTACGATAAATGAATGAATAAACAAATAAATAAATATACAAACAGATATACAAACAAACAAACAAATAAATATACAAAATACAACAGATCCATAAATAAATAGATACATAAATAAACAGATCCATAAATAAATAGATACACAAATAAATCAACTACACAATCCCTAAATAAAATGAAACAAAACAAAACTACGAACTTCTTCCTTAAGTCGCTCGTTTCTATGAATAACAAGTCAATGTGTCGGAATCAAAATATTCATTTTGAGTATTTTATTATTTTTTTTATTTTATTTTATTGAGTATTTTATTCATTATATTTATTGAGCTTATTTGTTTGTTTATCTATCTATCTACCTACCTACCTACCTACCTATCTATCTATCTATCTATCTAAAAAGACTCAAAATATTCATTTATACACGTAGGCGCCATTGTCTCTTAAGGGCAAAATGAAGGTGCCGACAAGTGATTCTAATCCTATTTCTGTCTTATGGATTGATGAAAGAGATAGTAAGGGAGGAGAATTAGGAAGGAGGGGGGGGGAGAGAAACAAGAATGAGAAGTAGAAAGAGAAAAAGAGGAAGAAAGAGAGTTGTGGAACTGCGCTCTACTGTGTTATTACGTAGTGTTATTTTAATCTTTATCATTAATACCGTCGTTATTATTGTCGTTATTGTAATTATCTTTACTACTTCTACTACCTTTTTTATCATTATTACTATCATTATTCATTATTATTATTGTTATTATTATTATTATTATTATTATTATTATTATTATTATTACTATTATTATCATTATTGTTATCATCATTATTATTATTATCATTATCATCATTATTATTATTACTATTATTATCATTATCATCGTTGTTACTATTGTCATCATTATCATTGTTATTATTGTCATCCTTATCATTACCATTATCATGATTATTTTCATTATAATAGTTAGCACTATCATTATTGTTACTATTATTATCAGTATCATCATCACAATCAATATTAACATTTTCATTACTATTATAATTATCGGTATCATTATCATTATAATCAGTAGTAATATTAACGTTCGTTATATGTGGTATAGATATCATTATCATAATAATTTCTAGTATTACTGTCATCAAGTAACATCAATTAAATAAGTTCTTCATATACTTGTTCTTCCTTTGTCTTTACTGGAAAATATATACATTAAATGAGAACATGTAACTGACGTTTTTTTTTTTTTTTTTTTGAGGCGAACATACACTTGACAGATTGGGGATGATTGATGGACGGTTGACAGGTCGTCGTGGTAATGGTTTGATAATTGACAGCATGCTAGGAAAGATTATTGGGTAGTATTAGGACATCCATTTAGTCAGTCATCAACCTGTCAAGTGCTTCTTTGATTTAAAAAAAAAAAAAAATAATAATAATAATGATGATTTATAAGTTAATAAAAATGAGTATACAGTCGTCTACATATTTATTTATTTATTTTCTTCTTTTTGTAAAGTGTATAAAATTTTAATGATATGTGTAAACCGGAAATAATTGAAGCTAGATCAATCTCACTGCGAATCCGTCAGAACAAGTTGCAAATTTCTTAGCTTGTTTGCGACACCCAAAAAGATTCCCAGGAACGTCTTCTCGGGTTTCTTCACGACCACCCACGAGGACACGACCCTCGCTGGGTGCTCCTTGCCGACGACCCTCGTTGCTCGTGGCGAAGGGGGCTTTCTCAACCACCCTCGCCGTCGTTAGGTCTGGCTCGGTCTCTCTCGCCTTGTTTTTCTTGGTCGGTCTCTGCGTGTCTCGTTTTTTTTTTTGTTCGTTTGAGGTTTTATTGTCTGTGTTTGTGTGTTTGTTTTTTTGTTTCTTTCTC